TCTAAATCCTTTGGTTGTGAAGGATTCAGGGATTCACCGTCACCAAGGTAAGTGCACCTCCTCCAAACCGTAGGTACATGCAATAAACGGTAAATGTTAGGATAGAATCGGTTAGGACCATGTCGCTTTTCCCTGCTGCCAGTGTAGCCACCCGAGGCTTCTTAAATGGTGGACGAAGAAAGCAAATGAAGCTGGATATATGTATCCTGAAGGGAACAGAGCAAACGGACATGAGCGTAGCCCGAAGTTAAGCCCATGAGTATTAGAATCAAACAAGCCCTAAAGTTATCGCCGAACGTTAGTTAGTCACATAAACGAAGCAGTATATGTGTTTAGTGTTATATATACAAGTTTGTTTAAGTGGATTTTTATAGGAGAGATGCGGGAATCAATTAAAAACGTTATACACGTGCACGAAGACGTTGAGGCGTCTCTCTCCAGTTAATATCTCCTATTCGGCTCATCTGCATCCCAATCCCTATTCTTCCTGTCACAAATACCAAATGAATCCTCTGCAACCAACTTTCTCTTGAAGTCTGAGGTTCAAGAGCAGGAAGATAGACGGGTAATTCTTACATTCAGCTCCACGTAATGCCTTCTTCTGCCCGGTTGGATTACTCGGGACGCTGCCTGCGTCCTTCCCCTTTCATTTTGATATATTATGCAGAATAAATATTTATGGAAGAGGTACCTAGTAAGATTTAAGCAATTGACAAGAAAAAATATTAGGCTCCATCCCTTACCATTTCTTCAAGTGAGTGACAAATATTTCCATCATCAAAAAACGCTTAAAATTCACTAGTTTGTAAAAAGCTGAAACGGAGTGCTTAAGTTATTTAATGGTTTGGTTTTGCACATATTTTTGGGGTTCTCATTGGTTGCTATGCAAAAACGAAGTACTCGATTAAGTGCTGTATGTTAACGTGATTTTTAACCAGTTCTACTGAAAAAAGTACGATTTAAGAGATTGCCCTAGCGTGGATTTAATGACTTTATTTTAAAGTTGGAGCTTAAAATATGCTCCAATAACTTTCACCTTGAGTGTAGAACAATGTAGCTGTCTCAATCAACATCTTTTAATGTTTTGATGCCTAGCTCGGTGATGAGTGCGCGTTTTGTGAATGGTGGAGAATGATCGTGAGGCTCCGGTGCTTGCCGTACGCTCTCTTTTAGTTCACTTCCAGGTATAGTACAGGTGTGGAAGAATGGGGACTAATTGAACTTCAGGGCGAACTTATTGATAAAACCGGTGGTTGCCTCGATGGTAAAGTTGTCGGTGACCTGCACTTCACACTTCAGGCATGGTCTTGATTTTTCTCATCATCTTTTCTAGAATGAACCGGTTTTCATTATCGGTCATCACGTTCTTCGTGGAGAGGTCGTTGAACTTGCTAAACCACTGGCGGTTCTCCAACGGAGACAGGATATCACCGAGGCAGAAGTTGTAATCACTGCTGTAATTAGAAAGAAGCTTCTCTTTCGATCCCGGCCTGACCCTATTATTTGGAATCGAAAATCGTGAAGTTTGCTGTACCTTACATAGTTGAACGTTTGTAGGTCGTACGCCATACATGGTGATAAATATGTGAAGATCTATCCACTTTTGCTTGTTTTACTTTGAAGCCCAGATCGAGACCTCTCAAATATTTCGCCTCGAAGTCACGTTTATCCTAGTCTCTACCTAGCTGCGAGGATCAAACGCACTACACTAAGGCGCCTTCACCTTTGCGTAAACTCTCCTCTCTTCAACTCTATGTTGTACTGAAGGGAGAGCGTGAACTTGGATCACTGGTAGTTTGCTTTTCTCTGTGCAGACAATCCATGGTTGCTGCAGGTATTTATCACTCCGTCAACCGCCCGGTCTGTCTTACTATTTGGTTCTAAGGTCTTACAACGTTTTTGTTTGTCTCCACCGATGGGTGAGCTGTCGGTGGTTTTTTTCAAGTCCCAGCAAGACAATGTTGTGTTCTTGTTTCTTTCATCGCTGATCTTGAAGGGTCCTCGTCTCGCCAGAATCGACGGCTATGAATTGGTTCCCCGGAGGACTACTAGTCATTCGAAGTAAAAGCAGAAAATAGCAATGAGCAGAGATCACATTCACTCAACGAGAGGGGATGGACGGAGTCGTGGTAAACCACTATAGGTGCTCATGGCATCGCAGCTTCACATGCTGAGGGGCTTTAGCTTGCAGTCAGCTGATGAGTAATGATGGCTATATATTGGTAACAAACGCAGGGACAATCGTCTTGGTGAGACCCATGGATCGATTAGGGTCTCTAATGGAGGGTCAAGAATCGATGTGACACGGCGTGGTTCTATTCAAAACGATAAAACCTAATCAGAACAAATTCAAAGAAGTCGGAAACCCCGAATTATTGCGGAGCGCACGTCATAGTATATTTCTTTAGACACAAAAATCATAATTGCAGCTAGCCGCTGAAACGGGTGTGCCGGCGGTTAGGAAGGGTCCTCACCGTCCTCCTCCGATTCAGATTCACTGAGGTGTAGGTAATTGGCCACCAAGGCGCGCTGCATAGAGACCGACGGCTGCAAGGAGGAGGGGTCCCTCGAGGTCGGTTGTGACTGCTGCAGAGCGGAGGGTGGAGGAGGTACAGGTTTGTCATCCGGCTCGCTGAGACTTGAAAGGCTAGAAAGTTGTTCGTGACGCTGTTTGTGGAGGGGGTTACTAAGACTCCCAGCTTCGCTAATACTCGATGAGGATGAAGACGAGGACGAACTCAGTGTAGACCTCTTCAAATTTGAGGAGGGAGGGGGACGCTGATCGGGAGGGGAGGTGCGTTTGGGCTTGGGCACTCGTACGCTGGATTCGGAACTAGATTCGGACATAGTTCTAACCTTAGCTTTGGAGGATTGGTTCGATGTAGTGGTGGACTGTGAGGGTAACGAGTTCTGAACAGGTTCACTTGGCTTCTTGCCTGGTGGTCCATCTCGCACGTTCTTCAATTGTGCAGCTCTAGATATACGCTCTAGAGTTAATTCACCCGTCTACAAGAGGAGTATATGTCAGTAAGATCTGTTCAAAATGCGAAATGAAGGTACATACGGTTTTATTGTAAATTAGAAGACATTCTTTTTGAACTGGACGCATGTTACCCTTGAGTAAAGTGGACGATTGCTCCGCACCAGAAACATTAGGCAACCGAACATCAACTTCCTTTTCATTCACAATTCTTATGGACCCAGGCTGCTCTCTATCAACTGATGCAGGTAAGAAGTCACATCTCATAGTCATAAAACAGTTCTGTGAAGGATCCAGAAAGCTTCGACCAAGTTTAACCTCATATTTGCCCTGAAGAGGCATTGCCGTATATTCAAAACAAAAATCAAGCACCAGATTCAGTAAACACGAATGTTATGGCTGCTTGAAAGCAAGAGAAAACCCACGGACCAGGTAAGCATAGAACCTCAAAGCAGGTGCCCTTCAAATTAACCGGACTCAAATCGACTTAGACATACGCAAGGCAAACTGTCAATATTCAGTTAAAGCCATAATATGAAAAGAATGTTTCGGGCATACCTAGGCGGACTTTAGATCCAAAAGGGATTTTTTTATTTTTACAAAGAGGTGTGTTTCGAAGTATTTCAACAAATCTAAATTTTAGTGCATAACTTGTCATCTTAGCAACCCATACCACAATGAATAGGGGTGCCATTTCACAAACCACCCATTAGTAGCAGCAATATCATAAACGACATAATAAATCTAAAGTCAATGCAATCAATGTTTATTCAGGTAGAATGGGGACAAATACTTTGAGCTAAATGCCAACTGAGAATACCTGAGTATGTAGAGCTTAAGAATCAGAACAATCTAACAATTCGTATGCTTCCTAACAAAGTGCGTAGGCTTTATTGATGCAGCCAGTGTTGTCGAGTAATCGGTGTACTGAAACTAATAGGGGGAATTATCTCCCACCCTGCCCTCAGACTCCTTATCCTCCAGCATTATGAGCGGATTGTTTTGAGGGAAGTGTATTGCATAACCTTACCATAATACAAATAAGGTTGTGAATTCCCAAAACAGAGCACAGCGTTGATTAGTGGAACGGTCCAGGTTCTTTAAGTACGGAATTCGCATGAACTGACCACCAATTCACTGTCAGGACAATTCAAACTGCACTGTATTGAACGAAACTTCTAGTGTGACGTCCCAAGAATTCCCATAGGGTATAAGACGCTAAGCGGAGCCGAAAATATGTATTTCAGAGCAAACAAAGAGAATAGGTCTGAGCTTGGCCGGAGGACCAGTCCACGCATACAAGCGCCAGACGAATCTTAGAATAACCGGCGCATATCAGGTAGTCACATAAACAACATTACAGTATCTTTAAAACGCTTCTTTACTATCATTATTTTTATTTCTTTACCATTGTAATACTTTGTTTATGTGACCATATGACGTTTGGCGGCCACTTTAGGATTTGTCTGACCCTTGTACACGTGGGCTGGTCTTCGGG